TATCAGGAGGCATTTTTATCCAGCTTATTCAACTTCCTTAGATTAATGACTAAACTATGAAAATGAAACAAACTGAAATTAGCTTAGAATAAACATAAAAGAAGAATAACTAAAAACAATGCTGCATCGTCCATATCCTCTGGTACGTTGTTCACGAACAGATTATATTCAGTGTAACTGAAAAATACCATCATCATTTCTTTCTCAAAATGTATCAATAACATTCTCCACGACAACACTTCATCAATCAAATCATCTCCCTAACCTATCGCCCACTGCAAGAACTTACTGCATGATCTGAATATTGTGTCAAATCTAAACGATCTGAAAGATCCAAGAAACAAACNCCCCCCCCCCCCCCCCCCCCCCCCCCAAAAAAAAAATCGCTAACGAAGAAACAGAACAACAACAATTGAATACGTACGGTGCATTTGGCGAGTTCGCAAAGGACAAGTTGAATGCAGCCGTTGGTTTTGATTTCGGTATAATTTTACCGTTAATGTGCAACATCGCCCGACGTGCTGCCTCTTTGTCGGTAAACTCCACGAAGCAATAACCTGCTTGCTGAAATTTGTAAAAATTCAAGTTTACCGTGCGATTTACTGAGCCATCAAGTATAGATCAAATAAATCCGTCCGTATTCTTCGTCAATGAATCTATCGATTTTACAATTCAGTCAAAAATAATGTTCAGTGTCAGAAAACTCTTTCAACTGCGCCGTTATCAACGACTTCGAGATTTATTCAGAAAAAGAGACAATGATGACTTGATTCATTCAAAAAGATGTCACCTAGTTTATATGCATGAATTGCTCAATCACAATGGATGATGATCTAGATTACAGCATCTTGATTATCATGTAATACCCCACGGAATGAAATTCTCAATCTCCAGAAGACAATGGCTTAATCCATTGAATGCTATTGATTAAATGCTTACAATTAGCGGAAACACAATATAGCTCTGCTCTGATCTAACGGTAGATCAAAATTTTCAACAAAAAAATTTAACCGCAACTATGCGGCCTGGATTTTGCAAATTTCTTGATCATACTTGGTGATGAAGGCTGCGATATCTTGCTCTGAACAATCACCTAATGTAACACAAATCCAAAACCATTTAAATCCAGACGACTGAGGCAATCAAAACAGAAATGGATTCGACTTCATTCTATCAAGACATCACAATAGAATCTCGGTTTGATCTAAAGGTAGATCAAAATTTTTAGCAAAAAAATTTTGTGAACAATAGTCATTCATCCATCCGTCCGTCTATCATTCCACTAATCAATCATTTCCTCAATTCTCAC